GATACACCATGTGTGACTTATATATTACTCAAACTTATGATCTCACTTTTTGAACAGGCCCAGATTTTGATACTGAGGAAACCCGCTGCACAGCTTTCCTGGCCCCACTGAGATACGTAATGGCTCCGCTCTACGCTGTGACCACAGAGGACCACTATGATGATTACAAGCGGGCAGAAACCAGTAGCAAGCTAGTGGGCGTTTTCTCCAGCAGAGAGCGCGCCTTGAAGGTCGCTATCCTGCGTCTTATCGAGGACATACGAGAGCAACTAATCGACAGAGCTGATAACGAGGGGAAATCACTGACAGAAGCATTGCGCGAGTTCTGTACGAGCTGCACGGCGGAATCGTTCGATGTAAGCCAGGGATTTGAGAAAGTGCAAGAGCTGGCAGAGGAGGTGTACGGAGAACCGGAGTTTACGATGGAATCGTCTGGAGTCAGGTATTTTGTTCAGGAAATCCCAGCTATTGATCAGGTTATTGATGGTGAGATCCTGGCGGAAGACTTTGATGAGGCCTGGGTTGATGACCTGAATGATCAGGAGGAGTTCAAACCTGACCATTCTGACGTCAGCTCTGATGATTTTGAGCTTGAGGATATGGACGAGGAGGAGCTGACTCTGCTAGCACAAGAAGCGGCAGAAGTTAATGCAGAGGAAACGGGAAAGGAGTCTTGAACAAAGCTGGTAAAGCTCGTTTGGTTGCAACCGAATACTAGCATTACAGACCCTGCGAAGTCCTGGTTTGACAACCAGGCGTGCTTGGTCTTTAGCAGTCGTCAAGCTATCTGGATTACTTTGGTCGGACTCATGGCGTGCTGTGTATAACCGTGATCTACGACAAGATACCGAATGTGACTTCAATGACAGGCTTTCTGGTCACGGTCTTAAACAAACACCAAGGAGTGTATTTGCTCCGAAGGTAGAAGTTGACGTGAGAGATGAGTAGAGCATTTGCTATAGTAGTGAGAGTGTCCGCTTCTGAGACCTAAATATTAGTTCAAAGTCACGTCTTCAGGAGAGGAAGTTCGAAAGTGAAACAAGCATGAGAATGGACTGCATCACCTCTGCATCATGTTGTCCTAGTCTTTACGCCCACGGAGTTGATCCACAAGCAAGTCAACCATCATCTTACGTGGTCACAACGGCTGGAACCCTTTCTTTCTTCGTAAGATAAGTATCCATTTCCGTCACTGCGGAAGCGCCCGCCCCTTGAGGATGGCTCGTTCGGTTCATTTTATGGATTGCTCAAGGGTATCCGCCCAAGGGCAGCGCGCCAATTTCATGAGCTTTATACGCATCTCAATCCACAATTAGCGCTTCTTAATAAAAGCTTCTTAGACGTAAGTTTCGTTCAGTATGGAGTATGTTTTATGCGCAAGTTGCAGGTGGCATAATATAGTCGAGGATAGTAAATCCTCGTCAACATTCCAATTCGCTGATGTTTTCATCAATTGGAGGGGAACTTTTGCTTCAACTGCCCCTATCAGTGTAAAGTAGGCGCAATCTACATCACGTCATGGCGTGCGTTGGCGACGATGCACTACGTCTGCACTTGCTCAAATACCGCGTTCCATGCGTCCCATGCCTGCTACTTGTAAAGCAGATCTACGCACACGTGTCAAGAGCAACGAACGTTGACACATCGACAAGGCTTCAATCTGCAAAATATGAACGATTTTTATCATTGCCAATCAGATCCTTCTGCTTGCGTTTTGACGTCGTTCTTCTCGCAGGTTATTAGCGAACTTGTCTCTTCAACCGTACGACTTCCACGAGAAGCCCGTGGGCCACGCACAGTACCAATTGGTAACGAAAGCGCGATTCGAAGGAGCATGTGTGCAGTTAGTGCAGTAATCTGAATCTGTGAAACCTTCGACTGAAGCGGCCGTTGCAGCAAAACCCGAGATAATGAATCATTAATCCGGTCTGCTAGCGCTAGATGCTCCGGAGTTCGAGTCGTCAACGACCAAGGCGCAGCAACTTAGGCTCGCCCCGGGAACCTCCCGGCAGCCGTCCCCGGGCTTGAAACGGCAGGTTTTCACACTGTGACTGTGCCTTTCATGAGCAACCCGGGCCAGCCATCTGAAGGCCCCAGCGCTCTACTCTTGAGCTCATGGTGCGGACGTCCGTTATGCGTCCGTTGAAAGTTGTACGACGTCCGGTACGTCCAACTTGCGGATCCGGGATGGGTAAAACCCGCTGAACCGCCCGGCCGCGCTGCTTCATGTACCCGGCCGCGCGGCTCGGGCCGGTGGCAGGGCGCGGGCAGCCGAGCTCGAAGTTCAATCTTCATTGCAAGGGATCAAGGTCGCTGCATCCACGCACGAGCCTCAGTGCCTTACAAACCCAGTACACCGCTCTCCTGCCAGTACAAAAGGTTGATGGCTCCGCTCTACGTTGTGACCTTAGAAGAGCACGATGATGACTACAAGCGGGCGGAATTCAGCAGCGAGGTGGTCGGCGTCTTCTCCAGCAAAGAGCGCGCCTTGAAGGTCGCCATTCTGCGTCTCCTTGAAGAGCTGAAACATCATTTGTTCCGAAATGATGATACGGAGGCGAAGGCCATGAAACAAGAGCTGCAAGAGTTCTGTACGAGCTGCCAGGAGGAATCGTTCAACGTCAGCGAGGGGTTTGAGAAACTCAAAGGCCTAGCAGAGAAGGCTTACGGGGAACCGGAGTTTACCATGAAATCCTCTGGCGTCAGGTGTTTTAATCAGGAGATCCCAGCCGTCGGTCAGACTGCCGCCTCCGCTGATCACATCATCGACGGAGAAATGCTAGAACCAGAGGACTTTGATGAGGCCTGGGCTGACGACCTGAGTGACGTCGAAGAGTCTGAAGCTGACGAGTCTGATTGCAGTTCCGAAGACTTTCGTGAGCTTGAGGAAATGGAAGAGGACGAGGTAACTTTGTTACGGCAAGAAGCGGCGGAAGCGTGCCCGGAGAAAACGGGAACGGCGGCGTCTTGAAGAAGGCTGGCTTTCTAGTTGGTTGCAGCTTTAACGTTGTATCAGTGAAACCCTCTTCAAAACGAAGATTTATCACCGTGTCCAGGATCTTCAAAGTATTTGGATGCTCGGTCAACTTGCGGACCTACTGCAAGACTCTCACTCTTTTTTTCAGTTTCAAATGCCCCGGGCTCTTGAACAAACACGTAGTAGTCCGTTATCCACAGATCAACCCAAGAGGTGAGGGGAGCATGTGAGTTATACGGGACAATGGCCGTTACGGAGACCTGGTAAACGTTCGATCGGCACTCTCTTCTTGGAAATGATGGTTGAAACGAATATTTTGTGGAGAAGCACGGCAACAAAAACCTCTTTGCTGTGCTGCGTCCCTATGTTCAACGCCACAGACTCGCAACCAGACGGGAACCGGCTTATCAATTTGTTCACAGTAGCAGGATTCATTTGCTTGTATGCGTATCCTTTGATGTCATCAGTGCCAAAGCGAGAGCGAACAGTATCACCGTTCTATCCAGACCTTATTTGGATGTCGGATTCTGCGAACTTTTTGTGGTTGCTGACACATAAATGCTTATGGAACTTTGTACACTCGGACATACCCATCCTCGTCATCATTTTCACTAAGACTGCCAAAACTTGATTGTGTTGCGCAATCGATGCAAAAACGTCAACGCTTCAGCGCCTCCATAAAAGTGTCCTAATTAAAGGAGAAGTCTGTCTGCAGAAGTTGGGTTTTAAGCATGTTAGGGACGGAATGAAAGCGCACGCTAATTCATGGCCGCCATCGGAGTAGTTGCAAGCGGTGGCATCATGCATGCGCACCGCGCGCACGTACGCCGTCGATATCTTGTTTACAAGGGCAAAGTGACGCGGACCACAAGTTTGCACCGTCGACTCTGTCGTTAATGACAGAGCCTAGAGGCCGACGGTTACACGTGCAATGTCGGCGCTGGTACCCAGGCGCCTAGATATATGATTTAGTAAGCGCCCAATGGGAATACATTCACAGAATGATCACAGATTGCCTCAGATCCCGGTGCCATGCCCTTACACAATGCGTACAACCATATTGTCTCACACATTTGCTTCATGGCACTTATTTAAGACGGTGACGAAACAAGGATTGCTTTGCGACAATGGCAGCCATCCGGCATGGACGGGGCATCGGACCAGAAAAGCCTCGGGCTCATGTTCCAGCAGCTCAGACGGTAGGTTCGTTGCGTATGGGCAAATCCTTCGTAGCATGGCCGCAACCCAATGGGCTCGTTTGCTACTTCTCTAGACCTGCTGTTGAAAAATAAGAACCCCTGGAAAACAATTTCAATTCTTTAGGAAAAGGCACACGGGTTTCTCTACTATTCTAGCTACGTTGCTGCGGTTGGCCGTCAACTCCGCCCCCATCCGCCCGGTTCAACAACGACCCAAGCCGCCCTTTTTCCAGGTACTTTCGGCCCCTCTCCCGGAACGACGCCCCGATCTTCTTCCCGTAGTCCAGCACCAACGCCTTCCGATTCCCCATTGCTCCGTCTGCCACGTCAGCACCGCTGTCAACACTACCTGCGCTCCGCTCGCTGCCAAACGGACCTTCCCGTTCGTCCAGGCCTCCGTCTGCTCTGCTTTTCGGGGGAACCGGAACTAGACTCAGTTCCGTCCGAGCCTTATGGGTCGGGGACAAGGCGCCACCGACCAGGGACGAGCTCCGCGGCTGCTCCGGGGGCCCGTTTCTAAAGGCGTGCGGTACTGCTGGCTTAGGGAACGGGGCTGCCGGTCGGGCGACCAGGTCCCAAGGGTCCGAGGGGTCTGTCGGGGGCGAATGCCCCACGGCTCGGCTCGTCGGCTCTTCCACTACCGGAGGGAACGGATCCCGTGCAGGGGGGCCCGTCCCACTGCCTGCAGCACCCCCATCCGAGGTACTGTTCTTCTCTCCTTCGCGCACATTGCCTGCGTCCCCGACTTTGCCCGATTGCGCCAGCTCGTCTTCCCCAGTTGGGCTTGCCGCCTCACGCCCTGCTTCGAGGCCGCCGTTTACCGACGTAGCGCTCTCTTCGCCGATTGCCGCAAGCGGACCCGCGATCGCCGGCGATCGAACCGAGGCGCTACCGATAGAACCGTTCGGCTGGACACCCGCCTCATCCGACCGGCCTTCCAACCCAACGAAACCGTGCAGGTTCTCTAAACCCGCCATCGACTGCCCCTCCGTTTGCTTCGCAATTCCTCCTCGCTCCATGCCGTCGGTCCCTGCTCTTTTCTCCTGAACGACTTCCGTCTCCGTTGGCGCAGACCCCGTCTCGCCCAGACCTACTCCAGACGGATGCTCTCTACCCGTCGTTTCCTTTGCTTCATAAGGTCCCGGTTCTCTGGTCAACCCTTCCCTTCCTGGCGGCTGAGCAGGCGGCGTGATTGACCAAGACGTTGTCCCGGCCAACGGAGTCAGCGGAGCAACGGTCGGCGCCGCTACGGACGGCTGCCCAGAGGCTGCGGACGTCCGACTCGTAAACTCGTCTCCTTCCCTCTTCTCCGTCAGCGACTGACCGGCCGTCTCTGCCTTTGCGTTAGCCAACACTCTACTTGACGCAGCCGGACTCGGCTTCGGACGTGTTGGGCTCGGAACGGCAGGCCCGACATTCGAACTTTCAGCCGTCGCATTTGCAGGTGACTTCGGGAACCCCCCGAACGGGACGGGTGACAGCAGAGGCGCTGGGCTCATGACGAGGGGGCCAGCAACGCCCGAGCTTCCCGGAGACTGAGCCACTCCCGCTTTCGGGGGGTTTCCGACTACCCCGCCTGGAGCCCCATTCGTACCCCCAGGGGCGCTGAAAGCACCGGGAGAAGCTGGCTTTGCCAATGAGGCAGCGACAGGTGTCGCCAAGTCCGAGGCGGAGCGTTTCCAGGCGGGAGGGGGATCCCCTTGGTAGAGTTCGTCGGGGTCGGTCATCATGTACGGGATGGTGATGTCCTCGCTCTGGGGGAAGACCAGCGAGTCGCGCAGCAGGTTCTGCAGGGATGGGGGCGGTTTGATCTGAAAATCCTCTTCTCTCTCGAATCTTTTTGAAGAGCAAGATTCAAGCTTTCGGGGATTTGTGCTGATCAACGGATACGACCTTGACATTGACTGAAGCGAGCCACATCTAGTGGACTGCTGGTGAATTCTGAGATCGCGGAAAAAGGAGAGAAGAAAGAGAAGGAGCTTGCGAGAAAGCTGCAGACGGGCGACATTTGCTCTCTGGGACCCGCAGCAGTTGCGAAAAGCCGTGAAGGTTCAGCGCAAAGGCGTGCGAAACAGGTAACCTCTGAGCGGAAGGAAAGAGACTTTCTTTCTGCGGTTTCCAGGCTGCAAAATTCCGACGATTATTGCCTCTGTTCATCGACAATTCTTTAGCCCCAACTCCTCACCCTCAGCCGTTCCACCATCCAGGCCGCCAGGGGGTTCCTCGTGATATTTAGCTGCCCGACGCTCGGCCGCGACTCCAACTCCAGATCCGGCATCTCCGAGAATCCGAACCACAGCCGGTCCGTTGGCGGGGGCCCCAACCTCAACCTCGCGGTTCCCTCCAAACCGAGCACGGTTACCGTCAAGGTTAGTGGGACCATGGAAACCTGCTCCGTCACGTGCTGCACCACGGGCTTCAACCGGGCGAGTACCCCAGTCATCGCGCTGTGGAAATTGCCCTTGAGCCGCCGCCCGGGTGCCTTCCCCGCGCCCCCCAATGCCTCAAGCGCCTCCCCCCCGGTTTCTAAACCCTTGCTCGCTAACCCCGCCGCAACTAGTTCTGCGCTTTCCACCAGCTCTTCGGCTTTCTCCGGGATGCTCCCGGGCTTGTCACTCAGGTTCTTAAACAGCCCCGTGTTGGCATATGCCCGCATGTCGAGCCGCGTCTCAAACGTCAGCTTGGCGCTCCCCCGGTATTCGAAGTCGACCTCGACGCTGACCCCGGCTAGGGTTTGGCTGGAAGGGAGGACGCGCATCGCCCGAGCGAGGGGGGGTTTCGTGCCCAGGTCGAAGTGGGTGCACTTGAGAGAGCCCATGAAGGTGGGGGTCTCAACGCGCGCCAGCTTGCGCTGCGGAAGGGGGGCGACAAAGCTTGAGGGCTTGAAGGGTTACGTATTTTCAAGGGCTTGCGAAAAGGAAGCTTAGAAACATGCATACGCAGTGCCTTTGAAATTAGTCGTTCACGAAGCTCACTGCAAAGAGTCCAGGCTTTGCTGACTGCGCTCAGATGCTGAAAGCTCGACAACTCTTTGTTTGCACAAAAAACAATGTTACTAACGGACGGAATCCTGCAATCAAAAGATGAGGGAACATTCGTACCTTCCAGATACAAGCTGACTAATGCGGATTTCAAACAAGCACAAAGAAATATATGTCAAAAAGAGAAACCAAGCAGACGGAAGTCGGCAGGCTGTGCACATGCACCTCGTACCTCGATCCTGTTCTTGATCATCTCCGCAACCTGCGTGTTCCGTGCCATGTCGAAGAAGAAGCGCGAGAACATGACGTTGCAGAAGCGCATGCCCCCATCGTGGCCCCCTGCGTGCTCCTCCGGTCGCCCAGCGCCCGCCTTCTTCCCGAAGCGGATAATGTTGTCGCCAAGCACCTTCCCATCAATCGCATCTTCACCTGGAAAGAGTACGATTCTAAGAACGCACGCAGACTCTAGTATTGGTCACGTTTTGGTGCCTGATTCTGTGCGTATACTACGCACACCTCATGATTTTGAGAGGGTCTCGAAACCCTTGAACAAGCTCAAAGACGTATTACGTTGCGTCAGAAGCTTCTGCAATTGTCTTTGCACAAAGAACGAGCTTGAGATGTGTTAGTCAGTTCGTCATTTAAGAGACCCGACCTGGAATCCTGCAGTACAGGTGGAATCATCCCGTTGACTCCTTCTCACGAAAGGAGTCTCTTCATCGTTCAAGAGAGACATCAGGCCAATAGGACCTGCTTCAATGACGATGACAGGGCAAGCACCTCAGAAGATCAGCATCATGACACCAGGTTCCGGAGCAACCATCAATAATTAAGTGATGAGAGGACGCTTATTTTAAAGTTGCTATTTCACCTTCTTCCCCTCCGCCTGTGCTCAACACATCCCCAACGACGCTTCCCTTCCTTCCGCTGTCCTCCCCTCCGCTGAACTCGTCACCGCTCAGTAAGCCCCCCGTATCGCTGACATCATCCTCGCTCAGAACGCTGTCCCCCATGCTCGACCCACGACTTCGTTCTCCCGCATCTGGGGGGGCATCCCTCTTCTTCCTAAAGTTCAGCTTGCGCCCCCCCAGAAGACTTCGGACCCGGCTGGCCGGTCCCGATTTCGGCCCACTCTCCTGCCCCTCTCTTTTGGGACTGTCCTCTGTGTCGCTTTCCCCTTTCCGGGGGGGACTCGTTGGCCTCGCCCCAGGGCTTAGAACACCCCCCCCGGCAGCGGCCTCTTCGGCACTCCCCCAGCTTGCAAAACGCCCCTTGCTTCGCCGCTTCAGTTTCGCGCGCCACTTTCCAATGCTGGATGTGTTCCCAACTTCCTTTCCGTGGGGGTCGGACGCCAGCCACTCCTCACCCCCCTCGGCCATCTGGCGCACGAGCTCGGTGAACGTGGCGTAGTCGTCCCGCATCTTATGAGTGGACGGCTTCTCAGGGGCGTGTAAGCGAGCAGCGTACCGCAGCGAACTGCACCAGGACTCTTTCTCGAAGCCGGTCGCACAGTAGAGCAGCAGCTCGCCCGAGTTTGAGAACAGGGTCCGCTCTGGGTGCTTGATGCTGATGGGGAACTTCTTGGACCTTGCAGATCGAGAGAAATTTCATCAGAGAATAGCCCCAAAAAAGAGTGAAGACTCGTGATTCTCTAAAGGGCAGATTAAGCAAAGTAGCCAGTGGGCAAATTTGGACAACAGATGCCTGAGTGCCAGTTGATGGATCGGCCAGAGTGGACATGCATTAGGTTGCGCGTCGATCGAAAACCTACTGGGCCTCCAGTGTTGCCTTTGTAGTACCAACAGCTAGGAGGTACAGTACTGTTCAAGCCATATTACTCCTCTGGTATGTGCCTTGTGCCACCACGTGGCTATGAAAAGCCATCCGATTGGCTAAGCAATGTGGGAAGCTTTTTGCTGCTTTTCGGTCGACGCGCACCCTTAAGTCTTGTACGGTCAATCAGGAAAATACATGACCTCGATCAGGGTATGCATATCAAAGACCTTGGGCCGTACATTTTCAAGGGTTGAGACTTTCAACAAAAACCTGCTTCAGACTCTGCTACATGAACGCCTCACCATTTCCTTTCCGGGGCCCCGTTGGCCGATACCGCCCTTACGTCGCACCCGTCCAGTTTAATGATGGTCTTTTTGCCGTCAGGCCCTCCGAGCATCAGCATGTTGAAGTGCAGCTTCGCCTGACGCTTCTGGGGGGCCCAGCCAGGGGGCGCAAGAGCCCCCTTGCCGCCACGCTGGGAGGTCTTCAGCCATTCAGATGGTGATGGCTTTGCCGCAATCCAGACACAACCCTGCTCAAAGGCAAGGAGAGAATGTTCGCCAAGAAATGGCTACACAATCGATCAACATAGCACCTGAAATCAGGTACTCGAATCAGGTAGCTTTGCGGTCTCTAATCATCACACTCCTCGTACCTCCCCTCAGGCAATCAAGGAAGTGATCAGATCAGGGAATATTTTAGGATATCCACGCCCATTTTTCAAAGCATAGTCTGCCGCACACTGTTCTTGAGATTCAAAAGTATCAGGCAATTTGGATAAAGGAGCAAAGGCATGCCACATACGCTCAAGACTGCTCAAGACTTCTCCTGCATGCATCTCTTTCCAGGTTTGACTACAACTGTTTAGATAAGGACTTACCTCGTTTGAAACACTGGCCTGCCTCTCCAATGGTGAAGCAGACCCATCTTCCTTTGGTGTCAAAAGTTCCTCGCCAACTTCCTCAATGCTGCCTTCCCTCTTCGCCCGCACCTTCTCCCAGAAGAACCAGACAGCAGCAACTTGGCCTAAGATAACCAAGGCCAGGCCTGAGATGAGACCTGCTAAAAACCCTGGAGCATTAAACCTCAATCCAAGAAGACAGGCCAGGATGGCTCCTACTGCAGCCAGGAGCCAGTGCAGATCCCCAGCATTTCTACTCTCATTTGTAGCTGAAGGGGCTTCAGCCAGTGCGCTTGTTGTTTGATGGCCACTGTCGTAGGCAGGAACTGAATCAGTGTGCACTTCATCTGTCAAAACCTGCTCCGCGGCTCCTTCCATCACTGTAAACAATCTGCTCAGAATTGTCCTTAGACTCAAGAGCTTTGGACTTCACCTAGTTGCGGGTCCTTCCGAATGTCAACACCACATTCCCAATCCTTGTCACAGGAAGGAAGCGCTTCAATCACGGACCTCTGTCACATTCCTGCTGCTCAAACGGGATCCTACAGTAGGGAAGACCAATGCTGCCAAATGCCTTCCGGGGCCATCTCCATGCCTTCTGTAGACACAGTACAGCTAGCTACGCCATGTCCGCTTTGCAGACCTCATGTCAATGAGCTGAGTGAGTCCTCTAGAATTCGAGTCATGCATGGCAGATTCCTTTTCTGGTCCAGCACGGCCCGTGGGCTATCGCGCCGCTTATGCTTCTTCCCTATGCCCGCCTATTGTTCAAGGCAGGAGGATTTATAATGGCACGCCAGATATATGACGCATTGACTTGAGAGGCCCAAGACTCGCCGCAAGAGTGGATGGAGGGATAGTGTCAATCCCGGCGGGCCGGGATCCCGGCCGGCCAATCAACCGTACTGGGGGACACTCCGAGTCCCAACACCCTTCACCTAAAGGGTTTCATCCTTCAACCGGGCCCTAGTCCCCGGGTAGATTGACTGGAGGCGAACCTTGAACCCTACACGCGGTCGCTAGTCTGGCAAATCGTACGAAAATATGCAGGTAATCGAGGTAATACCACAGCATCAAAATTGCACGAGACACATAAAATTCTTAACTTACAAAACATCCTGGTCTGAACACGTAACTATAGTAACCGTAACTGTAAGTGTGACTGTAACTGTGACTGTGAATTCAAGCATTCTTTTTACATTAATAGGTACATCGGAACTGTCTCTTGGGCGTTTTCTGCTATGCACAAGCACTTTCATACGAGCTGCGGTGCACGGGAGTGCACCGCAGTGAA